GGAACTTGCCCTTTTCCTGTCCTCCTCTCCATCCTTCTTCCTCGCCCATGCCCTCATCCCAGTCCGGTCCAGTTTTCCCGATTTCTGTGAAAGTCACTGCCTGCCTGTTTACACGGAGTCCTCTGAGTCCATTCTAATACTCCCTGTCCCTTACCCTCCATTTCAATACATCTCTATGATGACTTTACTTCCTGATAACTCTGGAAGCTTCCACGGCTCTCTAGCACCACTCTTGCCAGCACCTCACCCCCCATATTCTCCCTGGATGCGTACCTGCACTTCTAACTCTAACTTGTCTTCCTGCATCTACTCATATATACACTACTCCACTGGGTGTTCACACAGGTCACATTAAAATTCAAATATCTTTCTGTCCCTCTCGGGCTATACCGTCAGTGGCTTCCTATCACTCTTAGGGCGAAGAGAAATGTCCTTAACATGGAATCTACCCTCCACCAACCTTCTGCAGTTTCTGATTTCTCTCCTCTCCCTCTGGGCCCTGCTACAAATGACTTTACCTGCCTCTTCTCTCGGCTGCATCTTCTGCCGCAGCCCCTTTGCAAAGGTTCCTCCCTCTCTCTGGGATTCTTCCCCCCACCCTCCCTCATAAACACCACTCCCTCCGAGAGTCCCTCCCTAATACCCCAGAAAAGATAGACCCCTCCTTCCTGTTGAATGTTTTCACGATAACGGCTAACACGTATACACACAGCGCTACTGTTAGCTGCTCCTCCTGGCATTTCCACTTAGAACTCATTCACTCCTCATGAAACCTTGTGAGGTAGAAATCGTAATGACCTCTGTCTTACAGATGAAGAAACTGAGGCACAGAGAGGTTATGTAACTTGATCCAAGGTCACATCGTTAATAAGAGACAAAGCCAGAATTTGAACCCAGCCTGTGTGACCCCAGGATAGGAGACACTAGCCTTTCCCTTTCTGCACTTACTGTAACAATGTATTGGTATGACTATTTGTTAATATGTGCCTCCCCCATTAGAAGCTCTGTTGGGGTAGAGACTGTTTCACTCCCACTTACTGAACAGTGGGTGTTCGTTAAGTATTTTCCGAACGGCTGCGTGTAGAGTAGTCTCCTCCCTCTTCACTCACTGCACTCCATCAGCCACATGGCCCCGTCCCTGCTTCTTCCTGAAGCATTGCCAGCCCTAGGAGGTTCAGGTATGTGCTTATGTATGTTTTGATATTTGATGGAAAGTGTTAAGTGCCTCTACACACTCAGAGTTTTCTAGAGGAAGTGCTAGGTGATTCATGCTGTCTCAAGCGTCTTAACAGGTCCATGAAGTTATAGAACAGCTCTCAAATAGTCCCCTGCCTAGCTCATCCTGTCCCTGCCAACCTCCTCTCCACAACTACAACAGCCTCCATTTTTGCCTCTGCAAATCCATCCTCCACACTTGGGTCACAGCAATCTTTTAAAAATGCAAATGCAGAGCACCCTCCCGTATAACACCAGTCAGAAACTACCTATCACTTTTAAAGCAGAGTGCAAACTCTGCTGGTGGGTAAGGGGGTGCTGTAGGCGCTGTCTACTTCCTCATCCTCATGTCCCCTCACCAACGTTTCTTCAATGTGTTCCCTCTTCCAAACCCCCCACCCCCAGTTCTACAGTCCAGCAGCACAGGCTGGGTTCTGGGTTTGGACTTACCAACCCGTACCAGCTCCTACTTTCTCCTGTCAGTACTCAGGCAGTGCCCTCTGCCTGGGATGCCAGTCCTTCCCTCTGCACCTAGAAATCCCTACTCTATCATTAAGCTTCACCTTAGATGTCTCTGGGTTGAGACCCCCTCATCCCTGCTCTCTGTGGCTCTGCCTATCCCAACAACGCACACAAGGTTGAATCATAGTTGCTTCATTTCTGTGTCTCTCTCCCTGTGAGTTTTGAGGGCAGCCACCATGTCTTCTTATTTGTTTTTTTATCCCCCCATCCTACTGGCCCATGGTAGCTCCAAGCACAGTGCTCAATAATGATTTGTTCAATGAATGAGTGGTGATGAAAAATAGTTTGTCAACATAAGAAATTTCCAAACGCGTAAGAAATCTCGCGAGTTTATTTGAACCAAACTGACAATTGCCAGGAAGCAAAATCTCAATGGACTGAGAAAACACTCCAGAGAATAGCGGTTTTGTACCTTATACATCACAATCCAAAGAGGAGGCATAAAGGGGTTACATGAAATCCACTGGCGAGACTTCCACCAAGATGGAGGCATAGGTGGATGTGCCGTGCCTTCTCACACAACCAAGTTTAGAGACAACTAAATATTAGCAACAGAAAACACAGCCAGAACACGGAAAATTGAACTTTTCGGAAGTCCGTTAACAACAAATTCTTCAGCCTGACCGGTAAGGGGCGAAACCAGAGGCTGGTGAAGCGGGATTGCACAGGTCTCGGTCAGCCAGACTCAGGCGCGGAATCCAGACGCGAGGAATCCAGGCGCAGGGTTGGACCTAGTGAGTGATCGAGCGAGCCACCAGTCGAGTGACCGCAGGGGAGACAGTGGGGGAGCGGTGCTGCGTGTTGACTGTGGTCGCGCATTTGTGCGTGGGCGGACAGGCGATGGAGTGGGCGGTTGGACCGGGGCCCAGCGGGTCCCCGCGGCAAGCGGCAGTGGAGGACGCTGCCATTTCCCCGCTCTGATCCCACCTCCACATACAGCGTCATTACCCAGCGACTCTGAGTGGCCCGGCCCGGGTGAACCACCAAAGACGCTAATCCTCACCCAGCTGTGAGAAACAGCAGAGGGGGCCGCCATTTCCCCGCTCTGACCACGCCCCCACATACAGCGTCACAACCCAGTGACCTGGGAGTCCAAGGCGCCGCTTCTCACACTTAAAGGGCCAGAACAGACCAAAAATGTCGCAAGATCTCAAAGCCCCAGAACCTATAGCTCTAAGCGATGAAGAAATAGCAAAACTCTCAGATGCACAGTTTAAAACACTGGTCATCAGGATCCTCATAGAACTGGTTGATTATAGCCACAAATTAGACAAATATATGAAGGCGAAACTAATTGAAATGAATGGAATTGCACAGGAAACCAATACCGATGAAAAGGAAACTGGGACTCAAATCAATGGAGTGGACCAGAAGAAAGCAAATAATGGCCAAACAGAAAAGAGTCAAGAAGCAAGAATTCAAAGAAATGAGGAAAGTCTTAGGAACCTCCAGGACATCTTTAAACGCTCCAACATCCGAATTATAGGGGTACCAGAAGGGGGAAAGGCACAACCACCAGTGGAAAACTTATTTGAACAAATAATAAAGGAGAATTTCCCCAATCTGGCAAAGGAAATAGACTTCCAGGAAATCCAGGAAGCTCAGAGAGTCCCAAAGAAGTTGGACCCAACAAGGAACACACCAAGGCACATCGTAATTACATTAGCCAAAATTAAAATGAAGGAGAAAATCCTAGAAGCAGCAAGAGCTAAGGGGACAGTCACCTACAAAGGAGTCCCCATCAGACTGTCAGCAGATTTCTCAAAAGAGACCTTACAGGCAAGAAGGGGCTGGAAAGAGGTATTCCAAGTCATGAAATCCAAAGACCTACAACCAAGATTGCTCTATGCAGCAAAACTTTCATTTAGAATGGAAGGACAGATAAGGTGCTTCTCAGATAAGATCAAATTCAAGGAGTTCGTCATCACCAAGCCCTTATTATATGAAATGTTAAAGGGACTTATCTAAGAGAAAGAAGTTAAAGAAACATGAACAGTGAAAGGACAACAAACTCACAGTTATTAACAACCACACCTAAAACAAAAGTAAACTAAAAGGACAGCTAGATCAGGAGTGGAAATATAGAAATGAAGATCTCAAGTAGGGTTAGCAACAGGGGAGTGGGAGGAGGAGAAGGGGGGAGAAGGTACAGAAAATAAGTAGCATAGACAGTAGATAGAAAATAGATGGGGGGGCAAGAATAGCATGGGAAATATAGAATCTAAAGGACTTGAGACACATGGTCATAAACTACAGGGGGGGTAATGGTGGGGATGGGGGGTAGGGTGGAGGGGAATGAAGGGGGGAATAGAACAACTGTAACAGCATAATCAATAAAAAAATAAAAATAAAAGTGAATCAAAAGGAAAAAAAAAAAGAAATCCACTGGCGATAAATTAGGGAGGTGGGAGAAAGCAGAATGGGGTATGAGGAATCTCTGTAATTGGATAAAGAGTAAGATTAACAGACACATGCTTCCTTTCCATTGGTGGGTATAAGCTAGCTAATAGTTAACAACTAACATGATAATAAAAATGAGGGGTTCTGTGGTCTCCTGCTCTGGTGCAGTGATTGTGTGCTGACAGGTCTGGAGAAAAGGAATTGACCCTGACATTCCAAGGGTATGTTATCTCAGACACAGAAAGACAATAGACAGGCTCCATGAGGGTAAAAATTGACCTTTGTCAAAGAAGATACCGGCCTAAGACATGACTCCCCTCCATGACTCACTTTTAGTTAAATTTTCATTTCAGACCAGCCTATGTGGTTACTTTAGGTCTCTGAGTTGGTAAAGCCACTGTGCAGACCTCCCTGTAAGTTTGTCAGGTTTCACATTGGCCCCTTTTTCATGAACAAGTTTCGAGTTCACGGGTCCTAAAGAATGTGAAATGTACAGAATTGATAACTGGGAGTTCGGGTCTAGAAAGAGATGCAGATTAGGATGTTCAGAGATGAGTAACACCGGATGACAGCGGGGAGCTAATGTGGAAGGCAAACTCCTTCCTTCAGGGGCATGGTTGAAGGATTTACGAGGGAGTCATATTTATCGCGGCCTGCCCAGAGTATGGGTTCAGGTCCAAGCCCCCACCCCACCAACGGAAAGTCTCTTTGCCCTTCAACCTTCTTCGCCCCTTTCACCCGCTGGGGCCAATCGGCCACTCCAGGAGGAAAGACTACGTTTCCCGACATGCCTCGGGGACCGGGCTAATGAGGAGCCGGAAGTGGGATGTGCGAGGTCAAAGGGTTTGAGGGAAGTGGGCGGGCGGTGACTGTCGGGGGGCGTGCAAGTGAACCGGCTGGCCGCAGGTCGCGGGCATGGCTGAGGCCAGGAAGCGGCGGGAGTTGCTTCCCCTGATCTACCAGCATCTGTTGAAGGCCGGCTATGTGCGCGCGGCGCGGGAAGTGAAGGAGCAGAGCGGCCAGGTAAGCGTGCGCGGGCCATGTGTGAGGGCCGCGTGCTAGATCTGGAGAGCGGCACCCCCGGCCCATTCCTCTGGTGGGTGCCCAGAGCCGGGTCCCGTGGTGCTCGGGCACGCGACCGGGCGTGCAGCAGGAACCGCAGCCTCTGTCCTCTGCTGCGGCCCCTAGACTCTCTGGGCCTCAGTTTTTCTATCGCATGCAGTGGGCTTGCCGGGACGTGTGATCTACGCGCAGGGCCCTGTGTAAGTCCCGCGTCCTGTTCCTTCACCCTCGTCCTAGTAGCGTGGATTTAAAGTTTCCTAGGTGCCGGACCACGTGGTTTGGCGCCGCCCCCTAGGGCAAGAAAGTAGCTGCAAGTTTGAGGGGGAGATTGCCATCAGCCCCGAGGGTAGGGACCGTGTAAAGGAGGGTGCGGAGAGAAGGAGCCTATGGCCCCCGTAACTGAGCTAGGGCTCAGGCCCCTAGGCCCTTAGTAGCCCTTCTGTACGGAGTCAAACAGCTTTTGGATTCGAACTTCAGGTGTATTCATTTCTTCATTCATTCTCACAACTGTTAATCTGGCGCTTGGGGTGCCGGTGGTAAAATCATGAGCACTACATTAAGTGCCAAGAATGAGAGGCTTAGAGTACTGAGACAGGGCTGGCGGGTTGCCCCGGTTAGGGGTGTCCAGGACTGTTTTCCGGAGAAAGTGGAAGTTGATATGAGATTTAAGAGAGGGGAAGTGGATATTCCAGACAGATATGCAAAGGTCCTGCGGTGGGAGGGAACTTGTTGCAGACTGTTGGCCTTGGGAAAGTCCATTGTGGCTGAAATGGGGAGTTCAGGGTAATAGAGGTCCCTTGGGGGAAAGATGCTGGTTGGAGCCCTATAGCAGGCAGTTTCATCTTATTCTGAGGAGCAGTGCTAAGCCCCTGGAGGTATTTAAGCTGGTAAAATGATTAGTTGATATCCCTTTGGCTACAGTGGGAGCTCTGGTCCTGATGCTTGTTGCTGTCAGGACCTCCTGGAGAAACTAAAAAGGGTGATGGGCCCTAAGACATCATCTATGTTTTCCAACTGTCTCTAGATCTCAGTTGCCCTTTTTACCCTGCTTATAGCACTTAACAGCTAAAGAGAGCAAAAGACAGTACCGGTCTTCATTGGGGCATTTGCCTAAGTAAAAGTGCCCTGTGTGTGGAGCATACACTCTAATAGGAGCAGACAGGTGACAAATATTTTAAAAGTTAGTGATATAAATGGCTGGTGCTGGCTATAAAAATTAGACAAGCAAGTAGAGTAGGAATCTCCAATTATAAATAGGGTGGTCAGGAATCTCCCCTGAGAAAGTAACATTTGGGCAGAGAAGGAAGGGAAGGGTGAAGTGTGAACTTAGGAGTGGAGAGCATTCCAGACAAAAAGAAGAGCAAATCTTGATGGGGGCAGGGTGGCCCAACACATTTGCGGGACAGTGGAGCAGAGTGAAACTGACACTCGAAGTCTCAGTGTTCCTGGGTCACTGTGCAGGGTACTGACCAGATGATCTCATCAGGCCTGATAGCAACCTGCTAGGTGGGTGCTGCTGTTTTCCCCATGTCACAAAGAAGGGACCTGAAGTTGGAAGAGGTGGAGAGATTAGCCCAGCTACTTCACAGAGGAGTTCTGACAGAGGAGTTCTGAATGACTCCAGGTGCACCCTCTTGGTCCCTCTGCCCAGGTTCCTGACACCCTCTGCCTTCACCGCATGTTGCTCACTGAGCCTCCCTGGGGCACTTGACAGCCCAGGTTCCTGGTATTTGCAGAGGCAGTGGGCCCTATCACCTTGGCATCAAAGGCCTGGATTTCACCTGGTTCCCTCTGCTTCCACCAAGGGACTGGCACTGTTTGGTTCCATTACTTTCCCAGTGGTTAAGTGACTATGATTATGCCACCTGGCTGCCTCCAGTATCCAGGCTGTGGTTCACCCTGCCATGGGGAGATTGATCAGCCTAACCTTTAAGAGCCTTTTAAAAGGTCACTTGTGGGAAAAGCCCTATCTCCGGGCCTCTAAGCACAGAAAGTGCCCAGGAGGCTGAGGGCTGGATAGATGCTCTAGCCTGGAACATTTCAACTCCAGTCTCTCAAAGGCACCTCTTGCCAACATGTTGACTTACAAGGTTTTAACCCGGAAGGTTTGGATGGCATTGGCAGGTCCTGGCAGACATACTTCCCAAAGCAAAAAGAGCACCCTTCTCAACCCCCTGTCTGTGCAAGTTGTGAGCCTGTAGAGAGCTGGGCCCAAGGAGGACCCTTACTGTGCTGGGGTGTTAATTGCTGCTCTCTCTCTCTCCTTCTCTGCAGAGAAGTTTCCCGACTCAGCCTGTAACCCTCCTGGACATCTATACGCACTGGCAACAGTAAGTATGATGGTTCTGAAGGTGTGAAGTAGGGATACCCCAAGTTGTCAACTCGGAATAAGCTAGGCTACTAATCTGGTCTCAGATCTGTCTGCCACTGTAGACACCATTATCACCCCCAGGAAGCCAGGTCACAGGTGTGGGTGTCAGGTAGGGGGAGGGGACATTGAGAGCTGTGATCAGTATTGAATAACAGCAAAGACAGAAGCTTCTCAGCTATTTGTTATTCATTCAGTCAAAACAAACATTTATTGAGCACTTACTGAATGCCAAGCCCTGTTCTAAGTGTGAGGTGTCAGACATGCCTCCTTCCTCCCTGGAGTTGACATTGGAGCCAGGGAGTTAGGTGTGCATCAAAGAACAAAACACATGAATGTTAGGTTACAGTGGCAGTAAGGATTACGAAAAAGAGGTAACTAATGCCAAAACCGCATAAACCTTATTTGGGTTTCTAGGGGAAGCTTCCCTGTGGGGACCTTTGATTTGAGAACTTCCCTGACAAAATCGGGGAGTGAACTAGGCAGTAAGTATGGAGAAGCAGGTGGAGTATACCTAGCAGAGGGAACTGCTGGTGCTGGGGCGTGCGGCCTTGGGCCCAGTGCAGATGAGGCTGGACAGTCGGCAGGGCTAAGGAGTTGTCTTTACCCTGAGAGCAGGGGGAGCTGTGGAACGGTGACTCAGAATGGTGAGGTTGCTCTGTAGCCTGGCAAGACTGGGGGGCATCATCATCCAGGCAAGAGCTGGTGTGATGGGAGGTAGGAAGTGGATTCCGGGAACATCCGGGGGTGGAGCCGGGGCCTGCGGGTGAGCTGGAGGGGCAGTCTAGTTGAATCCCAGGTATCTAACTCATGCATGGGGGTGGAAGGAAACCTGGTTTGGAGGGGAAATTTCAAGGATGTGTTGAGTGTGAAATGTGTAAAACTTAAGTACTTTTCAAGGATGGGGAAGTAAGCCAAGGGTATATCAACAGAGGAATGGTTTGGGAGTGAAGGAAGGCATAGTTGTACTCTCCCCGTGCCCTGGCCTGGCCACAGCCAACCAGGCAAGTAAAGGACCTGTAGTCGTGTCCCACAGAGAATATCAAATTGTCCGGGGTGGAGAAGAGATGGCAGAGGGGCAGGTGAGGGACCACGCTGCACATCCCTGAGGATAAAGGGAGTGGCGTGTTCTCTGGGCCCTGGGAGGCTGAAATGGGATCTGTATGTGCCTGCTTTAGGGAGAGATCTCAGTTTCTGAACACAAGTGCTTGGTCATCAGAGCCACCCCCAAATGAGAGAGGCCACAGTGGGATTGGTGAGCTCCCTGTTAGCAGAGGGATGTAAGCAAAGGCAGGAATGGTATGGAAGGGATCCCAGCTTCCAGTAGAGAGCTAAGGCCCTTAAAAGCCTGCTAGGCTCTCAGTTCTTAGCTCTTTGCTGGTAAAGCAGCCCAGGACTCACCCCCCACTTCCTCTCACTAGCTGTCTCCGTCTCGCCCAGGTGTTGCAGGTGTTATTCACAGCACTTCCTTCCCCAGAGAACCACTTCAGCAAGCTGTACCACAAGCCCTTCCCTGCCTCTGGCCTCTGTGGATAAGGGGTACTGTGTGAAGCAGGAACCTCCTACCCACCAGAGGAAGCCTGGCCTAGTGCGACAGATTCGAACCCAGCAACGATCTGTAGGACCAAGGCAAACGGTTTCCCGAGTCTGTCTCTGTCTGTAAAGTGACAGATAGTAAATAGAGTGCTAAACCTGGCTGTTGGAGGCGCTCCCTCCCCAATTTATATAGCACCTGCCTATGAGCAGGACTGTTCTTTATGTAACTGGGAACAGACCAGAGAGCAGCTTCTTCAGTGATATTTGCCATAAACGAAACCTGTTTTTAACAGGAGATTCTCAGCAAGTGACCTTCCTGGGAACCAGGGACCGGAGAGCACGTCCCAAACTGTGGCAGAGCAATTGTAGCTGGAGAACATGGGCACGGACAGTGACTCCTCGGGGTGGCAACGTGGAGTCAAAGAGATGATGCTTGAAAGTTCCAGGGACTCAGCCATCTGAGTGCTTATCCTGCCAATGCCCTGGGCACTTGTTTGTTTTGAGACACGTGTTGGGCACAAAGGATACTTCAGTGAGCTGGAAAAGTTCCTGACAGGCCCCTCCCTCTTCCCTGGTCCTCACTGTCAGGTGAGGGCAGCAGGCAGGAAGGAAGCGCAGTGACAAGAGGGAGAAAAGTGCTCTGAAGAAAACGAAACAGGATGTGAGGGCAGAGAATGTCTTCGAGGTGATTAGAGAGGCCCTCTCCGAGAAGACTGTGCTGGGCCAGGGAGGGCCTGGGCGGAGTCTTCCAGGAAGAGGGCGTGGCAGGTGCTGGAAGTTCTGGAGGGAGGAGGAGCCCAGATGGCTCTGTGAAATGCCTGCAGGTGCCGGGCCTGTCACTTGACACCTTTTAGCTGCTGGTACTGACCATTCCTGATGATCTTGAAGACTGGACGACTGTAAAAACACTCTGAAATGAGTGAAAATGCAGAATTTTCCCTACACTATGTCTTCATTGCTGTTTAAACTCTGTGTGTTTCCTTTGGAGTGGTGGAAGGCTGTGGGAAGGTCTTTCTCTTTTCAAATCTCCTGGAGTTGTCCTTGTCACCAATTGGTATAGCCAGTCACCCTTGTCCTACAGAACCTCGGAGGTTGGCCGGAAGCGGAAGGCAGAGGAAGATGCAGCATTGCAGGCCAAGAAGGCCCGTGTGTCAGACCCCATTAGCAGTTCCGAGAGCTCAGAGAGCTCGGAAGAGGAGGTGGAGGCAGAAGCTGAAACTGCCAAAGGTGGTAAGAGCCCTGCATACCAGGTGCATCAGGGCGAACGCTGGTGCTTGTCGGGGCTTAGCCCAGGGCCCGGCGCCTTTTGGGAACAGGCTGTTGCATATTGGATTGTTCCAGTAGGGGCCCACCTCCAGCTTCTCCTTCAGTGAGCCCTGGGAGGACCAGGACCTCTTAGGGGGGAGATCAGAAGGGCCTCCCTGTCTGTTTCAGGATTGATTTGAACCCTCCCTCTGTGCCAAACACCGTGTCCCTGGCGCCTTCTTGCTTGGCAGGACTACGAGCCAGTCCTTTTCCTCCAGGGCCCCAGTGACTCACCACCAGGGAACTGGAACTCCATCGAGGATGCAGACTTGTAGCTTTCACTTTGCCTCTCTCTCTCTCTCTCTCTCTCTCTCTCTCTCTCTCGCCCTCGGTGGATATGGCTGGTGTGTGCACAGCCCTTTCCCACAAGTCTGGGCTGAGCCTCAGAACCGTACCCAGCACCAGGCAGCCACAGCAATTCCTAGGGGGGCTGAAACCCGTTCGCTGCTTTTAGGTGAGAAAAAGCTCCCCTGGCTCATCTAGCAGGTGTTTGTGTCTTGCAGCCCCAGTTGTGGGAGCGGTGTTACCCTCACGCGTGAAAGAAAAGGCCAAGGTGAGTGGGGCCACGTTCCCAGTTGTTACCTGTTTAAGAGTTAAAATGCCCTGTAAGCAACAGTCTCCTGTGTCCGGGAGGGTTGTGGGTAATTGCCTGGCCTGGGTTCTCATCTCAGCCTAAGGCGCCAGCTCTGTGACCTTGGTGAGTCCCTTTATCTCTCTGGGCTTCAGTTTCCTTTTCTATAAAACTATATAAATAATTAGGAAATAATGATCATAACCACAACAAACTGCAACTTACCACTTTGCAGGTTAACGGCTGTGTTCCTCCAGTGGTCACCTAGTTCCCCCGGCACCTCTGTGAGGGGAGGCGCCACTTTTAACCCCAGTCATTCATTTATTTATTTTTAGAGATTTTATTTATTGCCCTGACCAGTGTGGCTCAGCGGGTTGGAGTGTTGTCCCGTAAATGAAAGGTTGCGGGTTCGGTTCCCAGTCCAGGCACAGACGTGTGCAGTCTGAGGTCTAGGCGTGTCCCAGGAGCCACCAGCCGGTTCTTCTCTCACACCGATGTTTCTCTCTCCCCTTCCTCTCTAACAGCAATGAAAACAAAATTGTCCTTGGGTGAGGATTTTTTTTTAAGTAAAGCTTTTATTTATTTCTCGAGTGGGGAAGGAGAGGGAGAGAAACATCGGTGTGAGAGAAAAATATCCATGGGTTGCTTCTCACACGCTCCCAACCTGGAACATGACCGTAACCCAAGTTTGTGCCCTGACCTGAAATCAAGCCAGCGACTTTTTGGTTTATGGGACAGTGCCCAACTCACTGAGCCACACCAACCAGGGCTTTTTGAAAGCCCCACTTTAAAGGTGAAGAAATGGAGACCTAGGGAAGTGACTTGTCCAAACTCAGACAGCTAGGAAGTGACAGAACTGGGTTCAGATGTGGTCACCAAGCCATCCCCAAGTGTGTCTGTCTCTTGTTCTCTGTAGGCAACGACCAAGACAGCCAACAGGACAGTGAACTCCACACCACACCCTGCCCCTGGGCAGGCCCACCTCCTCTCTGGGAAGTCACCCAAAATGTCATCAGGGCCCTCAGCAAATACCGTCCTGGACTCAGAAATCAAGTCGCTGGGCAGTGTCTCAGCCCTCAGAACCACCGCCAAGCCTGGTGAGAAGCACCCAGAGTGTGGGCTAGGAGGCAGGCAGGCCTGGGTACTCCTTTGTCAAGCTCCAGGACATTCAGAGCCTTTTCTCCATGACAACAAGGACCCCCCACCAGTACCAGACATTTTCCCTTGATGAGGGAGAGCCAGCCACAGGGAGGCATCAGGATTTGCTGAGGGAGATGAGCAGCCTGGGAGGGGGTTAGGGACTAAACTCAGAGGGGCCCGGGTTTGCCTCTGTTTCTTGTGTAAAAGGACTTTGCCCTGCCCGCCTCATTGTGTTAGTAGGGGAAGTTTTCTAAGCTGGGGCATGTATTAAAACCCATTACGCTGCGCACAGGGCCTCAGGTACGTGAAACATAGGGACACAAGCAGAGTGCTCCTAAGCTCCAGGGCTTCCAGAGATGATGGAGCTGAAGCAAAGCCCAAATGCTCGCTCACCCGCTACCTGGCTCTGATTAGCTGGTGTGGCAGAGTGCTGGCGGGTCTGGGGAGGGTGGCCGTCAGTGCGCTTCCTGTTCATCCCTCAGGAATGGCGTCATCAGGCCAGGCAGCCAGCTCCAGTGAGGACACCTCCAGCTCCAGCGATGAGACGGACTTGGAGGTAATTGCAGCCTGTCCTCGGGAGCTGCCCAGCATAGACGCCCAACCTTCCCTCCCTGGGGCCGGGCTTCACAGACCACTGGGGCCAGATCAGTTCAGCAAGCGTTTCAGGGTGACCGGGAGCTGGAAAGGCTGAGGCCTGGGGCGCGGGGGGTAGGAGAGGTGCTGGCCATTGCTCCCGGGGCCTGAGGAGGGTCTAGGGTGGTGGAAGAGAGACACTGTCTTGCCCATGAGACAAAGAAAGGCTTCCTGGGAGAGGTGGCACTGGATCAGGGCCTTGGTGCACAGGGGCATCCAGGAGGGCGACGTAGGGGAAGAGGTGTTGGAGCAGGAAGTGCTGTGCAAGCAAAGGCCCAGGGACGGCTGCGGGGCACTGTCCTGTGGTGCAGTTGGGGTGAGTGGGGTGAGGTTGCCAAGGGAGTTCTGAGCCTGCTGGCAAATGCCAGGCCTAAGCACCTGGCCAGAGGTGGGCAGGTCTTAGTCTGGGCCTTGTCTCTTCTCTGAACTGTGACGGGATGTCAACTTCCCACTGTGCACCTGCCAAATGCCAGGCCCAGGGTGCTGTCATGGGCAAGATGGGCAGGGTTCCTGCTGCCTGGGGAGGTGGGGGTCCCTCAGAAATTTCATTGCAATGGTGGTGGTAACTGTGAAGGGAAAAGGTAGAGAGCCATCGGGCAGAGATAGGAACGTGATGTGGACAGAGGGCAGCATGGGCAGCGACGAAGACAGCGAGCTCGGTGCTCTTCAAGAATGCTGACGTGCACTGTGGTGGGTGGGAGAGGAAGTGATGTGAGACAGCTTGGGGGTCGGGCTAGTCACCGCCTGACCGTGAGGACCACCAGGAGGAGTCGGGTTATGCTCAGGCTGCGGAAAGCCATTGCAGGGTTTCAGGCTCAGAGGTAAGGTGACCTGGTTTGTGTTTCAAAGAGTTTGCTGGCTGTGGCCTGGACTGGAGGGCAGAATGAAAGGAATGAGCCCATAGAGGGGCTGTTGGAGGGCTGTGGGCAGCGGGCGCTGGGGGCCCCCTGTGCAGGTATCGGGGGTGGGCCAGCAGGGTTCAGGGATGGACGGGGCTGCTGCCCGGAGTACTTCCCACCTCTCCTCCAGCCTCACCCAGTAACACGTCAAGCTGGAGACCTCACCCCCATCTACCGCAGTCCTGGCTGCAGGTGCCTCCCACTTTCCATCCCCACCCTCGGGGCCCTAGCTATAGCCAGTCCTAGGATGCCCTGGGAAACCAGCAGTTAGCCACATGGCCTCTGTGGGCCAGAGACCGGTGCGGGGCCGTGGCAGCAGTAAGGAAGAGTTCGGGTCGGAGGAGACGGCTGCCCCGAAACCCAGGGTCAGGTGAGGGCTCGCTGCTGGCAGAGATGGTGATAGGGCCCTGCCTGCCTTGCAAATGCCAGCCTTTTAGGAAGGCTAAAAGCCCAGAGAGGGAAGGAATGTGCCCAGGATACTTCAGCGAGCCTGTGGCAAGCTTGGTATTCAGATGCTGGCCCTCAGCTCTTGTGATGGCCGTTGTGATTCGATACTGTAGTTGAAGAGTCAGGTGAGGGTGGGCTTTCCTGCTGGAGAGCCTGTGCGCCAGGTGGCAGAGCAGCTCAGTGCTCAAAAGGTCTGCCCCCAAAGCTGCACAGACGTGGGTTCCAATCATAGCTGTGCCCCTTCACCTTGGTCTTGAGTGAGTTGACCTCTCAGAGCCACTCGTCCTTTTCCAGAAAATGGGCATACTGACGGTGTCCATCTTGGGGGTTGTTCGGGAGGCTTTATGAGCCATGAAGCCTCGTGTGTCCTCCTGGGGTGGGGACTGTCATGCCTTACCTGATGCCGTCTCATTCCAGGTAAAACCGTCAGTAAACCCACCACAGGTCAAAGCCTCGCCAGCCCCTGCCAAGGCGTCTCTGGGGAAAAAAGCAGCCACCACCCCTGGGAAGGCAGGGAATGTGATACCCCAAGTCAGCAGAGGTGCCCTGGCCCCAGCCAGCAGGGCCATAAAGGCCGAGAAGGACTCGGAGAGCAGGGAGGAGGAATCTGAGAGTGAGGAGGAGGCCCCCGTGGGGACACCCAGCCAGGTGAGGCCTGGGAGAGGGCTGCCCTTGGGGTCCCCTGGTCCCAGCAGCCTGGGGCTCTCCCAGGGCCCCAGCTAGGTGGTGAGCACCTCCTCTGCCAGAGAAGACGCCCCTTGGAGTTGGGGGAGGGGGAGGGGAGGCGGAGGTGTGAAACTTGGGGCAACAGCACCTGGGCTTGCCGCAGCTGCCTGTGGAAATCGCCCTTTTCGCCTGTTGGGCGGCCTAGAATGGCTGCTTCCCAGAGGGTGCTGGACCCCACTCGATCAGTAACTCCGCTGTACCTCAGTTTCCCTGCCTAGTAGATGGACTGCTGTCCTTATCCCAGCTCGTCTGCTGTGAAGGGACTTGGGGAGTTTCCATTGCTCAGCCCTCTGGCTTCTTAGGCCAAATCATGGCTTGATAGCTAAGAGGAATTTGGTTTTCTTCCACCTGCTGGGACCCCCTCTCCCTAGTGGGTGGTAAAGGGTACAGCCCCTGAGGCTCTGGGTGCATCCCAAGGAAAGCCCATAGGGGCTGGGGAGCTTTGGGATCTGAGAGGAGAGCAGGAGGAGGGTCAGACGGCAGCCCTGAGCACCCCCAGCCGAGGGCCCGGGGCGGAGGTCCCCCCCACAGGGCGGTGAGTGGAAGAGTGTGATAAATAAGATTGCCCATGCTAGACTTTCGTGAATGTTAGGGAGGAAAGTGAGGCGGGGAGGGGCGTCGGAGTGGCCATTTAAACTGGAACACTCGGGGGACGCTGCCCAGGGGAGCCCTGTGTAAAGGCTTGAAAACCTGGAGGAAGAAAGGGAGGGGCCACGTGCTGCGCGGGGGCTGATTCCCGGTGGGAGCAGAGCAGGTGCAAGGCCCCGAAGCGGGAGCAGGAGAGAACCGACAGGCACTGATGCTGTCTGCAGGGCTGCTGCTCCTCAGCCCGGGCCAGTGTTGCTGTGCCCACGGCCACCCCATGTTGCCTGGCACCTGTTTTTCAGAAGGAACCCAAATGTGAACATTTACCTACAATCTCTTTCTCCGTATTGCTTCAGATACGTGACAAGGTGCAAGCCGAACACACCCTGTCTGGAGTAGCCTGCACCCTCTGCTCAGGAAGGTTTTTAGAAGGGGGTGATCAGAGCCACTGATTTTCTGGGGTGATTGGCTCAGGGCTGAGCAGCTGTGACCTTGTTAAGACAGACAGGGCTTGCAGCCATCCTGCCGAAACCCTGATGCCATGAGCAGAGCCTCAGACCAGCAAGGAGTCGGTCAGGGGGTCCGTGGGGAGGAGGCCTAGACCCTGGGGGCCTTGCCCCCTGAGGCTAGGACAGCCTGGCCCAGGGTCCGCCTGCCGTCCATGTGCAGAAAGCTCGGGGCAGGCCCCGCTCGGTCGGCCGGGCACAGCTCCTGTGCGCACAGCCTCCCCACTGACCAGGCCGCCCGGTGTGCAGGGCAACCGTGGGGCGGTGCAGAGCATCAGGGACAAGCACCGTAAGGAAGGAACTGGTGTCTGTCTGGCCCCAGAGGATGAGGCTGAGGTGACCAGGTGAGATGGGCCTCAGGGATTAAAGAGTGTGGAGCTGATAGGCTACGTCGCAGCATGAGCCAAGGTGGAGAGTGGGGAGAGAAGCAGGGGGTCCCGAGAGCCCCATGAAGCCCTCTGCTTATCCCGAAGGTGTTTCCAGAGGGTTTTCAGGAGGAAAGGACCGATTGTCTTTTCTCTTTTACTAGGTGAAGGCCTTGGGAAAAATTGTCCAGGTCAGAGCTGCCTTAGCTCCTGCCAAGGGGACCTTTGGGAAAGGGGCCACCCCAGCAACCCCTGAGAAGGCAGGGCCTGCAGCTGCACAGGCCAAAGCAGGGAGGCCAGAGGAGGACTCGGAGAGCAGCAGTGAGGAGTCAGACAGTGAGGAGGAGGCACCAGCTGCCAAGACTCCTCTTCAGGTGAGGCCCAGGGAAGGAGAGCTTGCAGCCCATGCCCACCCCCAGAAGGCCTTCTGAGGACTTGGTCTCCCACCCCCAAAGAGCCCCAGGCCTGCTCAGAACCCTGCCCCAGCCCGCCTGTCACACAGAGGGATGTTGGGGGGCGGAGGGTCACTGGCCTGTGTGGCCTCCTGTCTCTCCTCACCTCCACCCTCTGCACCTCCTCCCCTGATTCTGCTTCTCTGGCTCCAGGTGAAGCCCTCAGGGAAAACGCCCCAGGTCAGAGCTGCCTCAGCCCCCACCAAGGACTCCCCCAGGAAGGTGGCTGTCCCTGCACCCCCTGAGAAGGCAGGGCCTGCAGCTGCACAGGCCAAGGCAGGGAGGCCAGAGGAGGACTCGGAGAGCAGCAGTGAGGAGTCGGACAGTGAGGAGGAGGCACCAGCAGCGGCAGTGCCTGTAACCTCAAACCTGGCTCAGGTGAGGCTGGGACACTCTGCATGGTCGGTACCCTGCCTGCAGAGCCACCCATGGGCTTCTCCTCCCCCTGCCCCCTGCACCTGGAGCCCCGGTCCCTAATTGGCCCTCCTCACCTCTGTCCTACTAACACACATTCCCTCTGCAGGCCCCCTGCTGTAATCCTGTCCTCTGTCACTCACAGGCAAAGCCCTCAGGGTTTAAAAATGCACAGGGCAGAGCCACCTCAGCCACAGGACCCCCAGGGAAAGGTGCTGCCCCAGCACCCTCTGGGAAGGCAGGGCCTGCAGCCACCTCGGCCCAGGCCTGGAAGCAGGAGCAGGACTCAGAGAGCAGCAGTGAGGAGGAGTCAGACAGCGATGAGGAGGCCCCAGTAGCTGTGGCCTCGGCCCAGGTGAGACCCCCACCTGTAAGGCTCCTCGCTCCGCCCCCAGCACCCGAGCCATCCCCACCCTGTCCTGTACACTCTGTTATGGTTCGCCCTCTCAGTCTCTTGCATCTGCACGCAGGCATGCTTTGGTCTCCTTCCCCTGATCCCGTATGTCTCATTCTAGGCAAAGTCATCTGGGAAAGTTCTCCAGGTCGTACCTGCCTCCGGTCCCACCAAGGGGCCTCCTCAGAAAGCAGGGCCTAAAGCCACCCAGGTCAAGGTCAAAAAGGCCAAGGAAGACTTGAAGAGCATCAAGGAAGAATCAGACAGTGAGGAGGAGGTGTCTGCAGCCATGACTCCGGCCCAGGTGAGGCCACAACCTAGCTGGACCCTGAGTGGCTCCCACTGGCTGGCTCCATAGGAAGCTGTGGGGAAGGATGGCAGTGAGCTTCACCTTTGGACAGGTGGAGGCTCGGAATCCAGGATCCTTCTCTGGCTTCTAACTTCTGTGTCCCCCTCAGGCAAAACCGGCTATGAAAACTCACACCAAGGTCCTTCCAAGGAAGGGAACACCCGTTACCCCTGCGGCTGCCAGCGCCCCCAGGAAAGCAGGAACAGCAACTTCACCAGCCGTCACGTCGTCCAAAGCTGTGGCCAGGGGCACCCAGAGGCCAGAGGAGGAGTCTTCAAGCAGTGACGAATCAGAGAGTGAGGAAGAGACAGCGTCTGTCACAGCTGGGGGACAGGTGAGGCCAAGTGTGCTTGGCTGACTTGGGCCAGCCTGCTCGTGGTCCTCTGGGTCCCCGTGTCATGGCTCTCTTCCTTGCTGTGCTAGGCCGAGCCTGCGAGGAAAAGCCTCCCGGCAAAAGCTGCCTCAGCATCCACCAAAGGGCCCTCAGGGAAAGGGACCGCCCAGGTCCTCCCTGGGAAGGCAGGGTCTGCGGCGGCCCAGGTCGATGCCAAGACGCACGAGGACTCAGAGAGCAGTGAGGAAGAATCAGACAGTGAGGAGGCTTCCTTGGCTCCGGCACAGGTGAGACCTAGAAGAAGCCAACCCATCCCACCCACATCAGTGCCTGGGACTCTGCTCTTATCCCTGGTGTGCAGAAGTCCCCTGCAGCCTCAGTGCAGCCTCGTTCCCCATTTTTCACTCTGTCTCCTGTGTGGCCTTTGAGCCCCCACCGAGGTGCTTCCTCGTGCTTCCCGTAGGCTCTGTCGGGAACCCCATCCGCCAGGTGCTCTCCTGCCCAGGGCGCCTGCGGCCCCAGCCCTCAGAGCTCCCAGGCTAGAAGGGTGGTGTGGGCCTGCACACAGATTATCCCAGCATGGTGTGACAGAGAGAGGACACCTGCCTGGGGTCTCAGAACCCAGGGACTGCATCCAGGGGCTTTGGAGGTGAGGCCACTTGGAGGCAGTGGCATTTAAACTGTGGGCTGAGTTGGCCCAGTGACATGATTGTTCAGAGCAACCCCAGCTTATGAAGGGCCCGGAGTGGGAGAGCGCCTGGTTTGGGTGAGTTGCCCCAGGTGGAGTGTTCCGGTGGGATCACCATGCAGACAGTGTAGCAGCAGCGAACAGTGGGGGTTGGAGCGTGCCTGGGTTCAAGGCCCTGAAAAGCGATGTAATCCATCAGGGCCTCTGTTTTCTCTTCTGTGAGTTGAACCCTGGCAGGGTTGAGAATTTAGCAAGGTCTCACCTGCCACACCCAGCAAGGGCTCATCCTGGTGAGGGCAACCAGGCTGCCGTGCCCCAGAATCCAGGTGACTGCCAGCCTGGGAGAACTGGACAAGGTGAAGGCCGCTCTCTCCCTGCGCTCACCCGCCCACCATTCATTATTTTTAATTGCTGCTTTCCCCCCCCAATAACCACTCAGAAATGAGTCATTTCTTATTTCCCTGTACCAGAACACACGTTTTTATGGACTTTTTTGGTTCCCCTTTACTATTACCTTGTGGGACCCAAGTTCTTATGATCTCTCTACTGAGGTTTTAAACTGCGCATGCGCCCTCCCAGAGTCTCAGCCCAACAGGCTCCTTCCTGTCCCCTTTCTCCGAGCTGCAGACACGGTCTAGAGCAAGGTTCAAGGTGCCGTCTCCTCCTGTCCGAGCCTCCCCTCTCTACTGTGAGATAGGTGTTCTTTAGCATCGGTTTCCTGAGACAGAAATTGGAGTGTGAAGGGGTTGTTGAGTAACATGCCCCAGCTGAGCCAACCAGTGAGGCTCAGAGCTGGGCCTTGGCCCCACGGTGCCTGTCTCAGAAGCCTTTTGCCTTTCTCACTTTCTTCAGCCACATCTTTTTTTTTTTTTTAATTTATTATTTATTTTTAGAGAGAGGAAAAGGGAGGAGAAAAGAGAGGGAGAGAAATATCAATGTGTGGTTGCCTCTCACGAACCCCCTACTGGAGAGACCTGGCCCACAACCCGGGCATGTGCCCTGACTAGGAATCAAACCACGATCCTTTGGTTTGCAGGTCTACGCTCAATTCACTGAGCTACGCCAGCCAGGGCCTCCCATGGATTTTAAAGCGATTTCATTTTCATTTTTATTCTTTGAGTTGTGGGTTTTAAAATAGGGTAATTTTCAAATATCTGGGATTATACACATTTCTTTATGTCGCTCATTTCCAATTTAATCCTGTGGTAGCTGAAGCACATGTCTTGTATGATTTCAGTCTCCATAAGTTCATTAAGATCTGTGAGGTCAGGTTAGTCTTCATTCTGTCTGCATAACAGACACTGCTTGCCTGCAGATGCTTGAGAGCTGTGCTGATGGGCACCTTGGCTTTGAGTCACACACAGACTGTGCTTTAGGGGCTTGTCTTTCTGTAAGTCCTGACTTTTCACTTCATCCATTCCCAGGTGGGTGAGGGCATCTGGGGTGGGGGGACTTCTGTGCCCGATCCAGTGACATCTCTGAGGGAGGCAGGGCCTTGTAGTGCTGCCAGACTGCTCATTCTGCCTCACATCAGCAGGGCCTTGCTTCCCATGCCTGTCAAGGAGTTGGCTCTTTATTGTTCTCATCTCAGGGTCTGCACTTGCTGGGGGCCCTGCAGGCATTTGGGGGACACCCTAGACTCAGTGAGCATCAGGTGAAGCTGAAGAGAAACTCACAACAGCAGTCTGGTGTCGTGTTCTGCTCTCCCCAGTCCCTGGCTCCCACCTCACACAGACTAGGTTGGCCGCTTACGCTCCAGCTACTACCTCAGTGTCCCAGCCAGCCAGAAGGAAGAAGACACATGTTTTCTACATGTGTAAGAACGTCTAATGTGTGCTCAACTTACATTCCATTAGCTAGAACTTAATCACGTGGCCACCTAGCCAAAAGGGAGCCTAGCGTACCTTTGCTCTGAGTAGTCTTGTGATTAACACTAAGAAAAGTGCTCACAGTAATGAATATCAGTGCTTATCACATACCTGGAACTGTGAAATACTGAGAAACTCTCACTAACCCTCACGACAACCCTGTGGGTGGGCCCTATTATTATCCCTGTTTTACAGAGGAGGAACTGAGGCCCGTGACATCAGATGGTCTGCCCAGGCTCACGCAGTGGTCGTATGGTGGCACTGGAACCCAGACTCGGACGTCTGGCTCCAGAATCGGGGTCCAGGGCCAACTGTCCCACTGCATCTCACCTTCCACCTTCCATAATTCCCTTTCCTTCCAGGCGGAGGCCTCAGTGAAAGCCCCTCAGACCAAAGCCAGCCCAGCTTCCGCCAGAGTGGCTTCAGCTAAAGGGGCAGCATCAACTTCTGGGAAGGTGGTCACTGAGGCTGCTCAAGCCACACAGGGCTCCCCAGCCAAGGCAAGTGGGACCAGAAGCCACAGGAGGTGCCAGGGGTTGGGGTGAAGAGAAGGTCCAAGCTGTGGCCCCAGCCTGGACAAGGGCCCTGCAAAGTTGGGTGCAGCCTCACCATCACACCGTGGGTGGGGCTTAACCTGAAAAGAACTCTGCCGTCCACGTCTTTCCTCAATACTGTTACCTCCTCGGAATCCAGGTAAAGCTGCCAGCGAGGACAGCCCAGAGCCACAGTGCCGTCTCGGCGAGGGGCCAGGCCTCAGGGCCGGCGGAAGATGACTCAGAGAGCAGTGAGGAGGAGACAGACGTCGAGGGCGTGGCGCCCACTCAGGTGAGGCTCGGGGAGGGTGGAGAGCGGCCCGGTACCTCCCCTCTGTGTCTGGAGCCCCCCACAGCACAACTGCTCGAGCTCCATCCATCTTCTATGTCCCTCTGCTTTCCCTTCCCTGATTCTGTTTCTGTCACCCCAGGCAAAGCCCTCAGGGAAGACTACCCAGGTCAAGACCACCTTAGGCCCCACCAAGCAGTCCCCCAGGAAAGGGGCTGACCCGATACCCCCCGGGAAGACAGGACCCACGGCCGCCCAGGCCAGGAAGGAGGAGGAGGAGGAGAGCAGCAGCGAGGGGTCGGACAGCAACGGGGAGGCAGCTGTGACACTGGCTCAGGTGAGACTTGATGAAGCTGCGACCGTGCCGAGCCACTGCCACCTTAGTCAGAACTTGGGCTCAGGGCCATCTGGGTAAGGAAGACCAGAGTCAGGCTCTGACTCCAGGAAGGCTTCCATGTCTCCCTTCGGTGAAACCTGCTGTCAGACTCCCCCAAACCAAGGCCTCCACCGTTTGAGTGGACACCAGTCCCAGGGAAGGCTAGGCCAGAAACTCCTGACAAGGCACATGAGGCCAAGAACGCAAGGATGTCATAGTCAGAGAGTCGTGGGAAGGCTTGGATGGTGGTGCAGGCGCCACAAGACCCTGGGGAGCTGGAGGAAGTCACATCCCTTTTCTGGGCCTGGGACCTCACATCGGCTTGTGCATCTCCCCAGGGAGAGCTTGTCTAGCTTAGTGTGAAACCTGGGGTTTGGGGAGAGCAAATGAAGACGTGGCTTTTATCAGGGTGATTTTCCCTGTCTGCCTGCAGAAGGCAGCAGGGGTCCACGTCCTGCCAGAGTTCACAGTAACAAACTCCAGGACTCACCGGGCTCAGGTGTATAATGGGAATGATGGGCATAGGCCTGGTGCAGGGGACAGGTGGCAATGGGCCTTGAGCCATGGTGTCAGGAAAGACAGGAGGGAGTGGTGGCAGCCAGGGCAAACTGGAGAGCCCTTCTCCATCCAAGAGGTGGTCTCTGTCCACTCCAGCCACTTGTGACCTTGTAGAAATGTGCCCTCTGTGCAGCTGGGTCTTCTATTCCCGAAGGAAAGCTGGAAGTCCCTGTGCCAGGCCAAGCTCCACCCCCTGTTAGATCCATCTCTATGAGCAGAACAAGCACCAAGGAGCTAGGAAGTGTTCCTAGCACTACTCTCCGAGTCCGTGCATCAGCCACCTGTTCAGCCCTCTGTCTTGCTGATAGAGATAAAAGGACCAAAGATGGTGGCCCTGACCCCAAGGAGCTTACAGTCTGTAGGGAAAGACAAGGTGACTGGGTTTTCGGAGAATGTTCTGGTAGGGTCTGTCTAATGGACCTGGGAGAACAGGTCTCTGAGAGGCCGGAAGAGGAGATGATAGTGCGGAGCTGGAAGGGAGACCTGGAGCCCACCAGACCCAGGAGAACAGAGTGAAGACAGGCCCTCCAGGTGCCAGGCAGGGCGAAGGGTGCAAGCGTGTGCTGGGGATGAGGCCATGCGTGAGGTCTGTTGGGGTCAGCAAAGGCCAGCTGTCAGGCAGCAGGCACTGCCAGTGGCTTATTCCCAGAGGCCTCGTTGCCCTGGCCGTATTTTGGCTTGTGCAGCTTCCTTTTTTTCTCCTTTTTTTTTGTTTTATTTTACTTTTTAAATATATTTTATTGATTATGCTATTACAGTTGTCCCATTTTCACCCCTTCATTCCCCTCCACCCTGCACAGCCCCTCCTACCCACATTCCCCCCCCTTTAGTTCATGTCCATGGGTCATACATATAAGTTCTTTGGCTTCTACTTTTCCCTTACAATTCTTGCCCTCCCCCTGTCTATTTTCTACCTTCCATCTATGCTATTTATTCTCTGTACCTTTTCCCCCTCTCTCCCCCTCCCACTCCCCTGTTGCTAACCCTTATGTGATCTCCATTTCTGTGGCTCCGCTCCTGATCTAGTTGTTTGCTTAGTTTGTTTCTGTGTTTGTGTTTGTTTTAGATGTGGTTAATAATTGTGAGTTTGCTATCATTTTACTGTACATGTTTTTTATCTTCTTTTTCTTAGATAAGCCCCTTTAACATTTCATATAATAAGGGCTTGGTGATGATGAACTCCTTTAATTTGACCTTATCTGAGAAGCACTTTATCTGCCCTTCCGTTCTAAATGAAAGTTTTGCTAGATGGAGCAATCTTGGATGTAGGTCCTTGCCTTTCATGACTGGGAATCCTTCTTTCCAGCCCCTTCTTGCCTGTAAGGTCTCTTTTGAGAAATCAGCTGACAGTCTGATGGGAACTCTCTGTAGGCAACTGTCTCTTTTTCTCTTGCTTCTAAGATTCTTTCCTTATTTTTAATCTGGGGTAATGTAATTATGATGTGCCTTGATGTGTTCCTCATTGGGCCCAACTTCTTTGGGACTCTCTGAGCTTCCTGGAAGTCTGTTTCCTTTGCCAGATTGGGGAAGTTCTTCATTATTTGTTAAAATAAGTTTTCCATTTGTTGCTCTTCCTCTTCCCCTTCTGGTACCCCTATGATTCAGATGTTGGAACGTTTAATGTGCTGGAGGTTCCTAAGGCTCTCATATTTTTTAATTCTTCTTTCTTCATTCTTTTCTGGTTGAATGTTTCTTTCTTCCTTCTTGTCCACATCGTTGATTTGAGTCCCAGTTCTTTTCCATCACTATTGGTTCCCTGTACATTTTCCTTCATTTCACTTAGTGTAGCCTTCATTTTTTCATATTTGCAACCAAATTCAACCAATTCTGTGAACATCCTGATCACCAGTGTTTTGAACTGTGCATCTGGTAGGCTGGCTATTTCTTTGTCACTTAGTTGTATTTTTTCTGGATCTTTGATCTGTTCTTTCATTTGGGCCTTTTTTTTTTTTCTGTCTTGGCTTGCCTGTTATGTATGAGGGGCGGAGCCTTCTCTGTTCACCTGGGAGGGGTTACAGCTGTACGTGGGGGAGGGGTTTGAGAGGGAACAATGCACTTGCTCCATTCTCAGCCACTTTTCAGTCACTTTCCCCTCTACCCACAAGCAGATTGGACCCTCTGGTGCTGATTCCCATGTGGGTGGGCTTGTGTACGTTCTAGGACCCTGTTGGTCTCTCCAACAAAATCTGTGAGGCTGGGAGTTTCTCCCGGCTCCTCAACCCCCACAGGTGTTTTCAGTTGGTGGTCTGAGGCTTTATTTCCCCACGCTGGAGCCCTGGGTTGCGCAGTCTCTCTCCCCAGTCGTTCCTCTCAGTTTATCTGCATGGGAATGTGAGACCACCCAGTCCACTAGTCGCCTCGCAGGGTCCACCAGTTGCTACCTTGTCAAAAGTCCTTTCCACCAGGCTGCCCATCTCCGCCCCTCCTACCGGTTTGGGTGAATGTGTCTTCTTTAACTCCTTGGTTGTCGGACTTCCATACAGCTCAATTTTGTCAGTTCTGGTTGGTTTTTATTTTTAAATTGTTGTTGTCCTTCTTTTGGTTATGTGAGAAGGCACAGTGTGTCTACCTACACCTCCATCTTGGCCGGAAATTCTCTTTTTAAAGTTTTAAATGAATTGCTGTATCTGCCAGGATGTCCTAATCTGTAGAAGTGACCCTAATTCACAAGAGCTTGGGTGGTAAGGGCTTGGTTATCTCCTGGTGTGCCAAGTCCCAGGGCGAGGCTGCTGTACATGTGGCTCCTTCACCACAGCATCGCTGGTGACCCAGATGTCCTCCAGCTCTGCTTCATCTGCCTCATTGTCACATCAGGGCTGCAGTGTCTCCTAAAGAGCTAGAAAAGCTCCCAGCCCACTTCCCCTCTCCTTGTCTTCTTGATCTAAAGCTCCCTTCAACCTCCTCCCTCCCAAAGCCACTCACCTGTCACTGATGAAGAGCCTGCGGCTCCCAGGATTGGCTGGGGGAAGGGGCTGCCCTGGGGTGGGAACCACCAGAACAGAGCTGCGGTTCTGTTCCGGGGGAGACACCAGCATGGTGGTTGCAGTGTGCGTTTTAGTTGACCTATTTTAAACGTGGGAAGTGACATATACAAATCAGGCTCTTGTAGCTCCTCTTGAGAAACTGGCCACCTAGGCCTCACTTTGCTGGCTGGGCTGAGTAGTGAATGCTGGGGCTTTAGTAGTGTTTTAAAAGCGCGGAGCTGCCCTCACCCTCCCTCTCTGGCTCCTGACTGCAGAGTCCACCTCGCCTGCCCCACACTTATGCCAGCCTAGCAGGCAGGGGCAGCAGCCTTAGCCAGCTCTAGCTCCCACTTTTACCTGAGGGCATAAACAGCCAGGGGTGACCTGTGCTGGGGCCACTGGCTCATCCCTGCAACCTCTCCCCAGCCCCTCCCAGCCGGCTGTCACCTTGTGCAGATGCCCGGCCAACAGCACTTAGTCCCCAGGTTTTGTCTTACTTATACATTCCTTTCAAGTTCAGAGTCAGTTCTGGCAGGAGGATGAGCAGTTGAAGGCCTGTGTGTCCAGTGGCTGTGGGCCACACTGGTCCAGTAGTCCTCGTGGCCATTCATCGGCCCCGTGTCCTCCCCCCACCGCTAGCCAGGTGCCCATAGGAAGGAGCCACACTGCCTTCCCTGGGCCGCTGCTCACTGGGTGCTGGTCCCTGGTTGTGCTTCACCTCAGCTGACTCCCTCTCCCCCACCATGTACTTGTCCCCTCAGAAGGAGAGTAACTCCAAAACTGCCAGAAGCAAGGCGCTGGCCCCAGGACCCCCAGAGAAGAACCCTGAGGGGCCCTCAGAGAGCAGTGACGAGGAGCTGCCGGTGAGCCAGGTGGGCCTAACCTTCTCTCTAACAACACCGTGGGCCGAGAGCTGGGCTAGCGGCCAGTTAGGGTCAAGGGCAGGATGTTTTCATTTAAACAGCACTGCACAGTCTGCAGAGCTCTTCCCCCCGTTCTGCCACATCCAGTGTCACAATAACCCCTTGGGGTGGGCAGCAGAGTGGCACTGAACACCCAGGCTTCAGAGCCAGTCGGTGTAGGGTCAGAGCTGGTGGTAGGCTCTCCTGCCACCAGCCCGTGACCCTGGGCACACCTAACCGTGCTGAGGCCAGGGGGCTCGGCTGTGAACGGCCACCAGCCCTCATGCCTGAGTCCATGCCCTGGCACAGGCCCACAGTGCACCTCCAGAAAGCAGAAGCCTGCACCTGCAGGGGTGCCTGGCATTGCCTGTTTGCCATCAGGAATCAAGGTCCTCCAAAGTAAAGGGATTTCCTGGGACCCTCATGTCCCACGAGAAGCTAGGGAAGGGCCAAACACTGGTCCTCAGGCCGCCCCATCCCCGTGTGTCCCTGCTTTCTGTTTGGGGCTCAGAGTCCTCTCTGCAGGGCTTGTTGTCATCCCGTGGGCCTGGCCTGAGCCACTCGGGCACCGGTGGCCCTTCCTCACATGCTCTGCTGCTCCGGTCAGCCTACCCAGATTGTGCTTCGAGGGAGGGACCCAGCCCACCTGACTCCCAGATCATAGGCCCCTGTCTCTTGGGCTGGCGCCCAGGCTTCCATGGCTTCAGGGCAGAGAGTCTGCCCTTTGCCCTCTAACCTCAAGCTCCTGGAAGCTTCTGCTAAGCCCCTCAGGGATGCTGGAGTCCTGCAACTGCCAGACAGTCGGGTCTCTCTCCATCTCCCCTCAGGTCACACCCCGTGCTAACCCTCGAGTCAGCGAGGTCAGGTGCTGCTTGCGCACCCAGTGGTGGGCTGCTCACGGCCTTGCTCTTCTCAACAGCACAGGTTGCAAAAATGACCATGAGCCACACCAAGTAACATTACCGACCACTTCCTGTGTGCCATGCTTTGTGCTAAGCCCCCAACTCGCATTACTGCTTAGTCCCCACCACAAGCCTTTGAGGGGGGTACCTCCTTCCATTGTTCCCACTTTAAGGAGGAAGGAATGAGGCTCAGGGAGGGCAAGGTAGCTGCCCCAGTGTGACATGGCGCTGACAAGTGGGCAGGTCCAGGGCTGGAACCCGGGCCACCGCACCCCCTCCCCTCCCCGGCCCTGCGTCAGCACTCACCTCTCCGGGGAAGGAGCGGAGGAGGCGGGGCGCTGCCCTCAGCAGAGGCCGCCTCCTCCTCCAGGAGCTGAACAGCCGGGAGGGAGGGGCCACTTCCCCTTCTCCCCGGGGGCGGACTAACACAATTAAAATGAACATCAGGCTTAAACTGAAACATTTAATTGGTACGTTGGTCCCGAAGATTCTGGAGTCCCTGTTTAAAAAGAACGAAAAAAGCCCGCAGTTTGTGCATTCCCCCAGAGGATGCAAGGAAAGGCACGGCCTGGGAAACCTGCTGCCTCCTCCGAACCGGGGGCTTGCAGCTCCTTAATGCCCGGCTCACTAATTATGATTATTATCGTTATTGTGCTTTCATCAAGCACTTTTCCATGGACACGTTTTGCTCTGTTTTTATTATTAGCCTATCAGTGGGGCAGAGAGATTGATGTTAGGGTGGTGGGCAGAGCCCCTGGCTGAGAGGCAGATAGGATATTGTGGCTTCATTCCCAAGCCTCCTCACTGTGCCTCAGTCTCCCCACCTGTAGGGGGTACAACCCACCCTCTTACTTTGAGACAGACTTCAGGGGGGTGGTCTGTGGCTCAGCCCATGGTGCTGGCATTGGCCCCAGGCCAGGGTCTATGTTGAGGCTTGGCGTACCCACCAAACTAAAGACATTGGCCCTGCCCTCAAAGCTTCAAATCGAGTGCGGAGAAAAGGGAGACCTTGCCCAACCCACGCGGCTCAGTGGGCTGAGTGTTCAGGGCATGTGCCGAGTGCAGGCCAGGTCCCCAGCTGGGGGCATGCCAGGAGCAACCGATAGGTGTTTCTCACATCCCTCTCTTTTTCCCTCCCTTCTCCTCCCTCTAAAAATAAACAAATGAAAAATCTTTTAAAAAGAAGAAAGGCCTGAAAGAAACCAGATTAGGGTGTTCAGTTGGAAGCTTAGCATGGTCGGCCCTGGAAGGAGCTTCCTGTCTGGTACCCACAGAGCTGACTTGCAGTCCTGGCTCTGGCACCAGTTCCTAGGTTGCCCTGGGGGAGGCCACCCACCCTCTCTGAGCCTCAGTGCCCTGGGACAGGGCTGGCCCAGGCCTATGAGCCAGCCCCCAGATGGCTCCGAAAGAGGCTTTCAGAGAAGGGCCGCCCTCCACAGCTCTGCCCCCCCCGCGCAAGGTGCCTTCGTGGCTGCGTCCCCTACCTGGGGTCAGCAGCCCAGGCTCCTCAGCGCCCTGTCCCCACTCTGCCGCAGAGGAGTGAGGGCAGCCATGTGAGGGGCTCGGCCTGGCCCGAGGAGGTGAGTGCTGCCCCCAGGTTTGGTGCTGCCGCCGTCAGACCTACGGCAGGAAGAGAGTCCCTGGCTTCCTCTGGTTCCTTACTGCCCGGCTGCCCACATGAGGCACAGCTCAGTGTTCAGGCTGCCTCACCTTCCCATGAGCCTTTCAACCACCCCAGCAGGAGGGCCCTCATCACCACCACCACCCCCACAGGTGTACTGTGCTTTGCAGTTTCTAAAGCATCCGAGCCCCTCCGGTGAGTGAGCGCAGGCTGATGCTACTAACAGGTGGGAAGCTGACCACACAGTGCACAGTGAGGTCATGCAGAGGCGGGGTCCCCTTGTGCTGCTGCACACGCCCCACCTGCCCCATGGAGCCTGGAGGCCGGGTGGGCAGCGTGGGCCGGTGGGATGAAGAGGAGGCAGTTTTTGCTGCTGAGCTGCTTTTAACATCCCAGACGCTATTGTTTGCCTCGGTGGGTTCGTTGCCTCTCCTCGTCCCCGACAATCTGTTCCTCTGTCTTCTTGCATATATATAGATTCCCCCTCCCTCGGCTGTAAGCCTTCTCCCACTTTCCAGCCTTCTCTGTTTCATCACGTGGGCAGGAAGGCTCTGGAAGCGGCAGATCCGAGCAGCCGTGGGGGAGGCTGTTTGGCAGGGGCAGGAAGGGTCTGAGCCCAGCAGAGCTTCCACCCTCGGGCGGCGCCTCTCTGCTTTACTGTTCACTCCTCCTCCCCCTGGGCCCGGGGGCGAGGTGTGGAGTCAGGCTTCGGGAGCAGGGCAGCAGTGTCGTGGAGGAGACCCGGGTCCCGAGCCGTGACCTCAGAGCTCCCGCCTGCTGTCCTTGGTCTCCCCACGGGCCCAGGCCTGACCTCTGGGAAGCGGAAGGCAGGCTCCCACCCCGGCTCACGGCTGTGTGTGCAGCACAGGCAGTGGTCACACTCCCGGGTTGTGGTTCCCAGGCCAGTCTGCAGAATGCCAGGGAGCAGCTACTGCTTCCCCTGCTTGGAATGTCTTACTGGAAAATTTAAAGCACGCCCGCAGACAGACGGACAAAGAACCCCCACGTGCCCTGACAGTCCCGAATTCGGGACTGGCCCTTCCACCCAAACTCTCCACTCGGTCCCCTTCCTAAAGCATGACGGCAGCACAGTAGCACCCCAAAGAGTTGACCACCCCGTCAGACGTGTCCGCACTTCCCTCGTCGTGAGTGCTTTTTGTTCCGTGCGTGTGTTCAGACACAGGCACGCTGCGCTCACCTGTCAGCTTCCCCTGGGCAGTCGGTCTGGCAAAGCCACGGGGTCGGCGCGGCCAGGCTGCTGTGTCCTGGGCCACAACCCCCCGGGGGGACGTGTGTCACCATGCCGCAGGCGTCTGTCTCTGAGGTCAGCTGTATGGCCTCGGGCAGCCCTTTCCCTCAGCAGATACGTAGTTTTCCCACCTGCACACCTTAGGGGTGTGTGGTGAGGGTCAGACAGGCTCCTGAGCAGCGAGCCTGGAGCAGCCTTTGTCCAGCCACCCGAGCTCTCAGGACTCCTTGCCTTGTAAAACCCTTCCCTGCCCCACTTTCCCTCCCCCTGGCCCAGCCTTTAATCACTGCGGGGGTGTTTTTTGTTTTTGTTTTTCAAGGTGATTAAAACCCCTCTGATTTTTGTCGACCCTAATCGTAGTCCAGCTGGCCAGGCTGCAGGCGCCCCGAGGAAGGCCCAGGCCTCGGAGAGCACGGCCAGGAGCTCCTCCTCCGAGAGCGAGGACGAGGACGTGATCCCCGCCACCCAGTGCTTGACTCCCGGTGAGCGTGGGGCTGTGCATGGGCCACCACCAGGGCCTGAGTCCCCTGCCGCAGCCTCCTGGCTCGGCTGGGAGGGGCTGCCTGTGCCCCAGAGGCCGATGTTGCTGGCCAGGTTGCTGAGCAAGTTGGTCAGGGGGTGTTTAGGACAGTGTCTCTGGGCCCTGCGTTGGTTCAGTGAGGGGAACTCAGGAGAAATATTTGCCAAGGCTTCTCTGTACCAGCTCCGACAGGCAGAACCCAGACCAGAGGCAACATGTGGCAGGGACCAGGTCAAAGGATGAGCTTTGTCACGCCTGCCTGCCTGCCTGAACATGGAGAGGGTTGTGAGGTGGTGGTGAGCCTCCCATTCCCAGTGGCATGTAAAGGGGATTTATGACATCCTTTAATGAGGACATTGATATCTAGTTTTGGTAGGCTAATTTAGAAATGCAGACTAGTGCAAAAGAAAAAACATTACCTATAATCCCACTGGAATAATTACTGTTAACATTTTACAAGTGATAACTTTACAAAAACCTAAGCTGTACCTACGTGTTTTTAGTGAGACTGTGCCCTGCACATGCTCGATACTCGGTACTTGCCGACGCTGTGGCTAACGCTGTGGCATTACACGTTTACATCTTGACTCCTGCCAGCTGCAAAGTGCTCCTCACGTGGGCGTGCCGTGGTTTCTGCCAGGGCCGTGTTGGAGGGAGCTGAAGGTTCTGTTTGGGCCATGCTTTCACTTTTGTATGTAGTGCAACAGCGAGCAGTGTGTAATGGAGCCTTCGAAGGTGGCCACGGCAGTCCTCATGAGTTATCATTTGAACTACGCAGACAGTCTCAGCAGCCAGGCCAGCCAAGGGGGAGCAGCGTGGAGAACTGAAGTGTGGGGAGGGGACAAGGAGAAAGCCAGAGTCACCGCCCCAGCAGCCATGTGACCTCCCTAGGCCTTCTGACATGGAGAGACGCCAGCTCCTGCTTGGAGGTCGTGGGGAGGACAGCACACGGGCTGCTTGTGCGTGAGCCCTGAGCAACGCACTGGGCCCTGGGGGGGCTGGTAGGTGAGGTGTTGCCACAGCTGGGGAGGCCATGGGGCTCTGTGTCCTGATGGGCACCCTGTCCCACTCCATTTCAGCTGGTAGAACCCACATGGCGAGCATGCCTACGGCCCAGCCAAGGGCCACCCTCAGAGCCAGTGCTGGGGCTGGCAGCAGTGAGGTGTCCGGTCAGGTGACAGAAGGCAAGAAGCAGAAGGCACCTGCCACCCAGGTACGTGGCAGGTGAGGGGCGCCCTGCCCTCGTCCCCCTGCATTCCCACACCCAGTGCCACTAGAGAGGTAGCCGTTCCTCACAGCCAGAGCCCCCCCACCCTCTGGCTGCACCAACCAAGCTCCCAGGTGACCTTGGAGTGGTCAGGAATGGCAGTCTGGGGACGTGGTACCAGGCAGCGCCACTGCCACCCATGAGTCACTCACCAGCCTTTCCAACATGGTTGGACTTTCGTTTGGTGGTGGTGGGGTTTTTCTCCCTGTACCTTGAGATGCCAAGGGTAAAAGTGGTTCTTTGTTACTGTTCGTAGTAGTGACATAACTTCCCAGCCTTCATCATTTGCAGAGCATTTTCTTTGGTCCTTGCCTGAATCTAAAAACAGGCAGGAAGAGCTGATGGTTCCCATTCTCTTGCTCTTTGGGCCATACCAGTTTGTTTACCTATTTCCTCATCCTGTCTCTCGGAGAGGACAAGAGAGTGTGGGGGAGGCCGAGCAGGAAGGGGGCACCCCCAGGTCACAGGGGCTCCTCACGGCTGGGTAGGTATCTGGGCTGTGGGCACTGCATCCACTCGGCCAGCAGATGGTGCTGAGCCTCTGCCCATGCCGGCCACCGGGAACATGGCAGGGACGAGACAGGAGGTCGCCATTCCCGTGGAGTTCCCACGTGAGGCCCAGTAGTGGCTGTGAAAGAAGGAAACCAAAAACCAAGTGCTCACTAACTGGTGGGTGATTGGAAGGAAGCAGTGTTAGCTGGAGAACGATGCGGGGCGAGCGAGTGCGGAATGGATGGGTTGGGAAGGCCTCCCTGAGGAGGCGATGGGGAGGCAGGAGCAGCGGCCAGGCCAGCAGGCTGGGGAGTGCTCCCGGCTGGGGAGTCCAGGTGCAGGGACCCTCTGGAGAAGGGTGTGGGGGTTGGAGAGCTAGAAAAAGCAGTGTGGGGTGAGGGCAGTTGGGGGCCAGGAGCTTTACGTTGAGGAGGTACACCCAGCCCTCTCTCCCTAACTGCTAGTGGGTGTGGGAAGCAGGAGTGGCACGAGGGAGGCTGTTGGGGAGGCTGCTGCAGCCGCCGAGCTGGAGACTCGGAGCCTCTGGGAATGGTGCGATGAGCTCATCACCCAGAGCCTGGCACCATTTCCTGCCCAGATGGTGGCATAGCCCCTCTGACTCCCGCCCCTCAGTCCCCATTCCAGCCCCATGGCTCCTTGCAGATACAGGTCCCCTCCCGCTCCAGCAAGGTGAGCTCTGACCAGGGAGGGGCAGAACTGACACCTGAGAACCCAGGAGTCTCAGGGCCCCCTTTGGCTGTCCACAGGTGACAAAGAGGAACCTGGCTAACCTCCCGCTGACCCAGGCCGCCCTGAAGGTCCTTGTACAGAAAGCCAGTGGGGCTCAGCCTCCTGCCGCCAAAGCCCCGTCTTCAAGTGGGGTGAGCTGAGGAGCCCCAGGTCCAGGCCTACCCTGGGGGGACAGGGATCAGAGACGGTGGAAGGGAGGCCCATGCAGGGGCCCGAGTTCCAGCATCAGCACCGACCTGCCCCCCGACCTTAGCACACATGTGTGCTCCCGTCCCCAGGCCGCGGCTGCCGTCCGTGACAGCTCGGGGAGGGTGAAGTGAGGCCTGTGTGCGCAGCAGCCCGCCCGGTGTCTGGCCCTTACCGAGGTGTTCAGTAAGCATCAGATCTCACTTTCCCTAATTTTTCCTTCCACTTTCTCCTTTCACCTAATTAGGTTGACAGTGCTCTGGCAACAGTCCCTGTGGCGAGTCCCCAGAGCACCCCTGCGAAAGCCAGCAAACTAAGAAAACCCAAGGTTCCTGCGGTCCAGCCGGCCACAGCCCCTCCCTTGGGACACCCCAAAGCCAAGGCCTCTGGGACCTCAGATGACAGCAACAGCAGCTCTTCAGGGAGCGAGGAGGATGCTGAGGGGCCCCAGGTGGCCCTGTTGACCCACAGGCTGGGTGAGGGTCTCGGGAGGAAGGCTGGTGGGCCTAGGAGGGGAGTGGAGATCTAGGCCCAGGCCTCTGCCGTGTCTGCACTAGTTCTGCCCCCTTGGCCTAGTCTTCCCACACCGGGCCTTCGTTTCCCCGTCTGTGCGGCCCCTGCGGAAGGTAGCCCAGACTTGGTGAGAGACACTCTGATGTTTCCGTTTGGCCACTCCCAACTCTGCAGTCAGGCTTCTATACCTGACCCCACCAAGATGCAGGGCCAGCCCACCCTCTACCCCAGAAAAGCAGAGAAGGGGAAGTGGGCTTCAGCAGTCAGAATGGAAGGCTGTGGCATTCAGGTGTCTCGCCTGAATGCTGTGACCGTGGACGGGAGGGTAAGGCACACACAGGGCCCGGCCACCGCAAGGGCTCTGCCTGACCCAGCTGGCAGGGGGCACCTAGGACTCCCAACAGGACACCTGTGCTCCCCCAGCAGGTCCGGCGCCCCCCAGGAATGAGACCTTGGTGGAGGAGACCACAGCGGAGTCCAGCGAGGAGGAGGTGGTCGCGCCCTCCCAGGTAACTGCAAGGGGGAGGGCTGGCAACCTCGGGGGTCCTGGGCCAGGGGCCCCGGGTGAGAGGTCTGGGCCCTTCTCCCGGGGACCCCGAGCAGGGTCCTGTCTGTGTGGAGCCAGGCTGTCTCCCCCCCTCAAGGCTCCGTTTCAGCATAAAGGCACGAGGAGCTGACTCCAGGAGTCTGTACCCTGACGTGAGGTGATTCCCAGATAAAAACAGCCCTTAACAGATGGGATCTCTTTTAAGGTTATCCTCTGCACATGGCAACGCCAGTGATTTTCCACTTGCATTAGTAATAAGAATATTTCCGTTTTAAATGTGCCCGTCTGAAGTCTGTACTCATTAAAATAGCACAGGAGGTGCACACGAAGAGCCGGTGTCCCCATGACCCAGGCCGAGGGGTCCTCCCCGAGCTCGCCAGCCCCGAGCTCAGGGGTCGCGGGCTCAGGGGTCGCGGGGCCGGTTGCTTCACAGCGGGCCACACTCAGGCTGGTAGAGCGAGGCCCCGGCCTCTTTCACACTGGGCTTCTGCAGTCTCTCCTCTCAGGTTACGTGACCCCTGGGCTGACCCCAGCCGATTCCCAGGCTGCAAAGGCCCCTCCCAAGCCAGACTGCAATCCCCCGGTTTCCTCTCCTCGGGCCTCCAGTGATGCCCCAGACGGCAAGCGGGGAATAGGGCCACAACAAGCAGCAGACACCATGTCCCCTAAAACAGGTAAGTTGGGGGACACAGCAGCACACAGAGGGACAAGGCAGTGGCCTCCTTATTTCCCTCCCTCAGAAATAGTCCCACCAGTGTGATCGTGTCTGTCACCAGGGCTCTTCCAAGTGAGGCCTGGGTCCTCTGGTCTGGGTCCACCCAGGGGCTGCTGGTGCACCCTGTAGGGAGACCCCCGCCGAAGCGGAAGTGCAGCTTGACTTGCGGAGTACGGGCCTTGGCTCTCTCTGGCTGACCTGCCTCCCTAACACGTGGACTTGTGGCGTGGGGGCTGGGGAGTCGGGGAGCGCAGACAGAGGACAGTGGCCACGCCAGAGAAGTCTCCAGCACGTGGTGCTGGCCCCAGGCCATGGGCTGGCTTTCTCTAAAGCCTCACACAAGCTCCTGGCCGCCGGCAGCCTCTGGGTCACGACCACACAGGGCAGGGTGCTGCGTTCCCTTCGTGTCCGGGAGTGTCACACACAGGAAGTAGTCACCTGCTGTCCCGGGCAGGCGAGACGGCCTGGGCCTCTCAGGTGGGTGCACCTGGGACTGCTCTAGGGGCTCCCCAGCCCTGGCGTGGTGGGTGTTCATACACAGGAAGCAGAGGCGTGGGCTGTGGGGGAAAGGTTGTCGGGGCCCCGTGCCGGCCTCAGTTTCCCTGCCCCTGACGCCTGCCCTTACTAGGAAGCACCGGAGGAGTGAACTGGAGCGCTCTCTGTCCCGGGCACCCTCTGCTCGGTGTGCCCTTCGGGCCAGGCCACTGAGCACCTCTCAGGGCCCAGCACGCACAAGGGCTGTGCCCCAAGGCCCGCAGGGAGCGGGGCCCGCCAGTCTCGGGGAAGTCCGGTGGTGCGGGGCAGTGCTGCCATCCCACGGTCCTCCAGCTTTTGGCGGCAGCCTGCCCGGTGCCGGGTCGGCAGGGGAGCCTTTGCTCACTCGTGTCCTCAGCGTCCTCTCGGTGAGAGGTGGCGGCGACAGGCCGACATTTTAGAGGTGGCTGCGGAGGGTGTTTTCACACATGTAGTCAGCACAGTTACCAAAAGAGAGCAGAGGCGTGGAAGATTCTAAACAAAGGCTGCACCAGAAGTCACTCTGGCAGGCAGTAAACCTGCTCAGTCAGCGGCCACGTGGGTGTGCTGCGCCCAGTGGCCCTGAGCCGCCCGGACTCCTGGGCAGCAGGGCCTGCTGCGTGTGGATGGACGGGAGTCGAATGGCTCCATGGCTGCCGCATTTCTGTGACTACTGTATAGAATAGGGGCCGCACTGTTCATCTACCCCTCGTGTTCACAAACAGGGAAACAGGCTGTGGGAGGAGCAGGGCCCTAGAGCGAGTCAGTGGAGGGCAGACCTAGAACCCAGGCCTCCTGCTTCCTGGCTCTAGACTCCCGACGAGGCAATACCTCTCCCTCCTGTCTGACCTTCCGTTGGCTTGATGGATTGCAGGTCCTTTCCTTAACACTCTAGAGTCATGTTCCATTCTCAGCCCTGTGGGGGCGACTTCTTCGCAAGTCCCCCTGGTGCCACAGACACAAGTGAATGAATAATGACCGAGACATGCTGGATCTGTTTGGGGAGGAGGAGTGGGCTGTGGCCAGTTTCTCAGGGGAGACAAAGGCCAGCAGCGGTCAGTTTCTCCGAGAAGGCCCTGAGCCCCCTGCTCCAGGGCCTTTTATTGAGTTGTAATACACAGGAATACAGGGTGGCAAGGATCAAACAGTAGATAACATTTCAAAGAGATCTGAGGGCTTCAGAGTCTGAGTCAGTGTCTGTCAGGAAGAGAGTTGCAGAAACTTTGGGAGACATACTCATTTCCTCTCGGACCCTTACCATATGAATGAAAGCACTCTTAGCAGAGCGGATTTCACAGGTTAATCAGCAAGTCTTTGTGATGCCAGATTTTTTCCCAGGACACACTCTAGCAAGGCAAGGAGCTGCACCTCTCCCCAACAGGTATTCAGACTTAAGGGGATTAGAGCCAGGAAGCAATTCTCCCAGAGAACATGGGGACTCGGCTGTCAAAGCCGGGGGGAGAGAGTCCATTGCTCTTTGTTGCAGCCCCTCGAGTCCTTCCATGAAGGCCTCCCAGGTGATGGAGTCTGGCTTAGGTTGCCCCCCGCTGTGAGGGGTCTTACCCGTCATTGACTTTCAACCAAGCTTTGGGGGCAGGAAGAGGAACTGAGGCAGCGTTTGCTACCAGAGACAGGCTTTGTCTCCTGTGGCTGGCATTCCAAAGGTCGTCTCTCGCCCTTAGCCTCAAGAGGTAGAGATACAATTCCTAAAATCAGGCAGAGCGGTCTACGACACAGTCCAAACTTGAGATTTTAGTGCGAGGAGACAGAGCAAAGAACTTAAGTTAAAAGGTGGTGGAAAGGTGTGAGCTAGGCGACCCAGGTGGGGAAGAGTGACCATTATCCAAGGAGGCCAGTCCTGTCCTTGGGTCCCCTTGGCTCTTGTACCATGAGAGGTCTGGTTCCTGTCTCCCACATCCACGTCACAGTCCTCTCTCTGCAGGCAGAAGAGAGCCTGGCGCCACGCCTCTGAAGCCCGGGAAGGGAGCCGGGAGCCTAGACGCCTCAATGCTGGCCCTGCAAAGTGACATTACCCGGCGCCTCCTGAGTGAGCCCTTGCCCCTGAGTGAGGCCCAGGTCCAGGCCTCGGTGGCGAAGGTCCTGGCAGAGCTGCTGGAGCAGGAGAGGAAGAAGGCCACAGATGCCACCAAGGAGAGCAGCAAGAAGAGTCACAAGCGGAAGGTGTCAGGAGACCAGGCCACTGCCAGCGCCCCCAAGAGCAAGAAGAAAAAACTGCTGGTGGCCAGGGAAGGCAGGGAGGGTGCCGTTTGCTCAGAAAAGGCCCCCAGGACTACCAAGGGGAAACCTAAGAGACACACAGCAAGTGGTGACAGTAAGGAGCAGAAGGAAAAGGAGGCTCTCGGCTCCCCAAGGGCCAAGAACACGGCAGAAGGGGAGCCGGAGGTGGTGAAGGTTGAGGGCGGAGACCAAGCCAACCCAAAGAACAAGAAGGAGAAAAAAAAATCTGACAAGAGTAAGTGGCCTGCCGCAGCCCGGCGCACTGGCCCCGGCCCTGCTCAGTGCTGTCTGTCACCACGTGGCAGGATGGGCCCTGGTCGGCACTGAAGGGGGAGGCTGGGAAATAGTTTGTCCAGGGTCACGTGGGCAGTTATTGGCAAAGCTGGAGCTGGACCCTAGAGCCCCTGGGCCCGCACCGCCAGGGAGACCCCGGGGCTCCAGGGCGTGGCCTGCTCCCCACAGGGGCACGTACTCCTACACAGCATTGCCCCCCCAGGTAAAGTTGCCCCTCACTGACCTCTGTGCTAGACTGCGTGCAGTGGGGCCTCGTTTAACCTGTGTGCTCAGTGCTATTTCATTCCCATTCCACGGGTAGAGAGTGTCTTAAATAATGTGTACAAGTGTTTAAGAGTGAGTTGAAGAAGAATAGCGATGCTCCAGGCAGCCCATGGGTGGGGCAGAATTTATGAGGCCAGGGCAGGTGGTCACAGGTCCATGGGCCTGTTTTCATGGCTCCCTGGGGTGTGGGGAGACCCACCCTGTGTGTCTCCCAACATTGACCCCAATACTCAGGCTGAAAGTGTGTTGTTCAGGAAGTTTACTTTCTTTCCTCAGAAAAGAAAGATAAGGAAAAAAAGGAAAAGAAGAAGAAAGCCAAAAAGGCCTCGACCAAAGATCCTGACTCACAGTTACAGAAGAAAAAGAAGAAAAAGGTACAGTGAGTTCCTGAGGGGTTTCAGGCCGGAACAGGAACCCAGCCCAGTCCCACGGGGACTGTGACCAGCCCGGTTCTGCGCATGTCAGGAGGGCGGGAGCCAGAGCTGGGGGTGGGGGCGGCGAGGCTTGACACTGGGAAAGAGCCACCTTGTCAAAGAGAGACAAGGTCTGTGTGTGCAGAAGTACTGAAAGTGACCCTGCCTTGTCTGTGGGGTAGAAGGATGTTCCCGGGGCTGGGGGAGGGAGGGGACCCCCAGGACACAGGGAGGCTGGGACAGCTTCCAGGTGAGAGAGGAAGCGAGCACTGCCTGGGACGGGTGTGCCCCAGCCGGCGGGGATCCCTCTACAGGAAGCTCCAGGTTGTCTGCCTCATGGGTGGTCGCGGCTGCTCGCCTGTAGTGGCGGCACTCAGCCTGGGGCACTCGGCGCCTGCAGAGACCAGGCTCCCCCGGCCCACAGGGCCTCGGCTATGCTCTGCAAAGCTGCACACCCCACCGCGTGGCCCGGTTCCTTCCTGGAGGGCACTCTTGGCACCGCCCGCCCTCGGGGGTCTCTGCACACCCCACACCGGTTCCAGTGGTCCTTCAAGTCCTCGGGGGGCGGGGGGGAACCTCCCGTGCCCTCCTGCTGGGGGCAGCTTGGGTGGGAGGTGCTTCAGGTCCTACAGCCTCTCCCATTTCTCTCCTCACAGAGGAAGACGGCACAGCAGACTCTCTGAGGGGCACAAGGGGGCAGGTATGCTTCCCGGCCCAGGGACCCCCGCTGACCGTACAACCCCTGGTGAGGGCGGGCGGGCGGGCAGCTCCAGCACTGCCGTGGTCCCAGGGAGCCAGGCAGGACCTGGAGGTGGGCCCCAAGGGAAAGGGGGGTGGAGAAGGAGGTTCTGTCCCTCGGGGTCAGTGGGGCCATGCCAGGAGCGGAGCTGCAGGACAGCGGTGGCGATGGCCGGCACTCCCTGGGGGCAGCACTGAGCGTGCCTTAGCAGGGGCCCTGGGACGGCACCCCTCTGTGCATGAGGACGAGGCCTGAGCTCCACCTCTCCCTCGCTGCTGTCTAGTTCCTTTTTCTTATGCTCGTTCACTTGAGGGCATTTGCTCCTGGGAGAGAAGATGGTCTGCCCAAGACAAGCCATTTCAGTGGACCCGTGCTTCCCCGGAGGTGGTGGAGGGGTGAAGTGCTCCACACTGTGGGGTCATGCGGAGCCTGCCTGGGCTGGTGGCAGGACCAGGTGAAGCTAGGCAAGCGTTCAGCCCGCCTCCCAGGGCCTGACCAGCGCTCCAGGGTCCGCTGTGGTTAGCCGATGCCCGTTTCCTGCGTCCACACGCCAGGGCTGATTTGATTTGATTTGATTTGATTTTCCTTGATGCAGACAAAAGTTGGTAAATCTTTCCTCTGGGTAGATTTGTTTCCTTTCCCCAAGAATTTCTTAACTGAGTGGTGCCCAGTGCCTCTGCCCACCACAGGTTGGAATTGAACTTTCAATTTCCCCTTCCTCCCCAGAAGACCGCTCGCCACAGTGTTTGCGCTGGCCCAGCCCCTGAGCCCTGCAGAGGCTGGTCCAAGGAGGAGGAGGAAGAGGAAGAGGAGGGAGTGCACTGGGTTCCGTGACCTCCACTCACTGACCCTGCACTGACTTCTGTCCTGGCACAGGACACTTCGTACAGATGTGTACAGTGTGTGTGTATATATATACATATACATATATACATATATATTTTTGTAAGTGACCTGCCCCTCCCACCTCTGACCCAGAACACCCAGAGGCCTCAGGACCTGCCACCTCTTTCCCCTACAGACTCGGTGAGGCCCAACCTGCTGCTCCTTCCATGTCCCTGGTCCCCAGCTGATGCTGAGGATTTGTCCTTTGTCAGTTTTGTCCGTTTTGTGCTTTTGTAAGAACTCATAAAATAAAAGACCTAAAGGAAAAGTGAAAGGTCCAGTGCACCCGGAGCTAACGTTCTGCAGTCCACTTATTTGTGGAGGGGTGCCTGGCTGACACTTGGAGGGGAGCAAGCCCTCGCTCCAGGTCTGCTCTTGACTGCACATCCAGGCTCTGGGGTGCTGTGCTGAGTGGGACAGTTTGCCTCAGTTAAGTGTCTGGTGCTGGATCGGGGTGGGGAAGGCTTCCTGGAGGAGGTGGCGTCATTGCTAAGGTGGAGCTCCAGCAGGATCAGGGTTGGTTCCCAGATCCAGGGGTGAGCCAGGCAAATACCCAGAGGCAAGAAATAGAAGGGGGTGCCTTCTAAGCCACCTGTTGAGGTCTGAAGGTAGGAGTGGAGCTGGGGGTGGGCTCTTCTGTGGCACCTGGGGGAGCACAGCCATGGCAAGCACAGGAAGAGCAGGAAACCAGTTAGGACTGAGTTGCCCTGGTGGCCGGGTAACAGGTTCTGAAATGACGAAGGCAGGAAGTAGGTGAACTCAAGAGATGTGTCAGAGCAATAGCGACGGGACGTGGTGATAGCCAGCAATGCAAAGGCCCACTTCCCGGGGCCCAGCGCAGTGGGGAGCTTTTACTCGAACGTGTTCTGGCCTTCTGCCAGAGACAGCAGGAGGCTGTGCAGGGAAAGGGAGCCCTGAGCTGGGGAGACCCTGGAGACCAAGTTTGGCATCTGGCTCTGCCCTTAACCCAGGCCTGTGGGCAAGGCCCTCATAGCTTCTCGCCCCCGTAGGGTGTTGGTCTGCATCCGGGGCCACAGAGGGGTTTTCTGTTGGCCTTCGTTGAAATAGAGGCATTACAGCCCTGACTGGTGTGGCTCTGTGGTTGAGCGCCGGCCTGTGAAACAAAGGGTCACCGGTTTGATTCCCAGTCAGGGCATGTGCCTGTGTCGTGGGCCAGGTCCCAGTGGGGTGGGGGACACACGAGAGACAACCACACATTGATGTTTCTCTCCCTCTCTTTCTCCCTTTCCCTCTCTAAAAAATAAATAAAATATTTTTTGAAAAAGAAACAAAGATGTCACACTGAATGTCTTGATTTTGGTCTCCTCTCAAAAAGTTAAGAAATTCGGCAACAGGGGCCTGCACTCCCTCCTGGCAACAGCCGGCTGGGTCCTCACGCCATTCCCGTTGGCATCACATCAGTGGCCTTGGTAATGGCAGTGAAGATCGGGGTGTGGGAGAATGGAAGCTGGGCCAGGAGGAGTTTGTGCTTGAAGAACTTTGGACAAGAGCCTACATTTTGGAAGCAGAGTATTCATGCCCCTGGTGAAACAGGAGGCCGAGTGCGTCTGTGTACAGAGTACAGCAGCCCAGCCCGCCTGGCCCCGCAGGCTGCACCGCGCCCCCCAGACCACCGGACTCGAGCCCTGCAGTCACCTCTTCAGGGTAAATGAACCAGACCCCAACAGAACAGCGGGAGCTGAAAGTGATCTGTCTACTGACTATACTTTATTCTCACAGGAGCTGTGGTCCTAAGGGCCGGTGACAAGCTTGCTGTGCAGAGGGAACAGCTGGGGGGGGCGGGGCTCGGCAGAGAGGGAGGAGGGGTTGTGGTGGAAAGGCTGGTTCTTCCCAGTCAGTGTTGCTGGAGACAGGAATGGTGGCTTGTGCCCCCAGTTACACAGGCTGGAAAGCCAAGGCTAAAGCCAGAAGGGGAGGGATGGCAGCCTGTCCTGCCTCGGGGCTCAGGGGAGTACCATTCCTTCTCCCTGCACCTGCCCTCATCCATGGGTCTAGGTGTCGGAGCCCATGGGAGTCAGCCGAGCTCACGGTCCACCTCCTTGGGCCACGTGTCCCTGCTGCTGGATGGAGCGTGGGCAGCAGGGCCCTCCTGGGTCATTGATCTGTGCCGTTCCGATGTGACTGCTGTGTCCGAGGAAGATGGAGAGCCAGGCGCCAGAGTCTCATGGGATGAGGTGCAGGGTGGGAGTGGAAGGGGAGGAGTGTGGGGCTGGGTGGGGGGCAGAAGACAGCAAGGAAGCTGTGGCCATGCGGGGCTGGCAGGGTGCTGTGGTCCTCAGTTGCTGTTCTCACACTATAGCTACAGAAAGAAGCAGCAGGTTAGGGTTCGGGTCACCTGTTGGCTCAGGTACAAGTACTGACTATCAACACAGCCACCCACAACTCAGTTCCTCATCTCTGAAGTGGGCGTCTTGGGGAGGGAGGATGGACCAGGGTCATGCTGAGCTGGGCATCTACCCATGAGGAAGATCTGGGAGTTGGCCCAGCTGGGGACTGGATCCCCCTGGAAGGGGCCGTTACCTTGGGCCAGATCTGGCTTGGTCACGCCCAGCCCGGATGACAGGTCCTCCATGTCCAGTGGGTCTGCGAAGGAGCAGTAAGGCCATTGTTAGTTGCAGTCCAGCTGCTGTAGCCACTGCGAGGGGCCTGGGATGGTTTCTTCTCAACCTGGCCCCAGGCCCACCCTGGGGGGCAGGTGCCACATGGAAGGACACATGCTGGACAGCGGTGACGAGGGTCGTCGGGAATTGAGAGAGGGGCCAGGACAGTGGTGATGAAATGAGGGGTACATCTGTAGGACTTCAGGATGCGTGAGTGGAGAGTGTACGGGTGGGTGGAAGTCACAGTGAAAGGACCGAAGGGTAAATGAGTCAACAGATGAGTGTGGATGTGAGGACAGAGGCAGGTGGATGGACAAAGGGGTGGGTACATGGCTGAGTGGCTGCCCCTCAGAGCTTACACCTCCTGTGTCCCCGGCTGCGTGTGCACCAGGAGCGACCTCTTGTCCCTCAGCCTTCCTGGTCCTTCCTGCTCCTTTGACACTCCCTGGCACAGTAGCCACTGCTTACCACTGCAGTTATGGTGCTGGTGCCCACGGCTTCTGGTGTGGGGGACCTCGGTGCCGTTGGGGTAGACGCACCAGCAGTAGCCAATGCTCCCATAGCACTGGAGCGGCAAATAGTTGCCGTTCTCGTCGCACTGGGGCTTGAACCTGCCTGGGTGGACGGCAGGGATGCGGCTGGCCTCTTCCAGGCACTTGGTCAGTGCTGAAGCGACAGGCACGGTGAAGACAGTGAGTGCGTGGACTCTGAGCCAGGATCTCAGCAGAACCAGAGATCCACATACCACTGCTGTGGCCTGGCGCCTTCTGCCCAAGTGACTGTACCTGCTCTACCCACTGCACAGATGGGGAAACCGAGGACTGGACCGACAAGGTCCAAGATCAAAGAGGAAGTGAAGGTCTGCTTGGCTAATTCACCCTAGAATTTGAGGGTTTCTTCCAGTACCGTACTCCATGCCTGCTCAAGTTTGGAACTGCACTGGTGATTCTGATTTCTAGGGAAAAGCAGTGGTCATCTTGGTAAATCTGACCTTCTGTTACTGAGGGTATCCTAGTAGGAGTAGGGGTTTGCTGGTGGGTATTGTAGAAAGGATTCAAACATCAGCTGGGGGGGGGCGGTCAGGATGGCATCTAAGGTGCCTTCTCTGAGTCTGCGATGGAGAAACCTACGGCCCACACAGCGTGGGCCGCTGATGTTCTACTTCTGAAACAGAGGCCCGTAGGGAAGAGATGCCCGAACTCGCGTGGTAGACGATCACCAGAGCTAAAACATAACGTTCTTCAAAGCTCCAGAGCTGAATGAAGATCCTGGTAAACATTGTCCGTAAGATGAAAAACCCCTAAAGCTCTCATGTCTGGCACCCACATGACCTCAGGGGGTGCCCTCTGAGCGCCGGGGAAGGTCACTGCAGTGACTCCTGGGATGTTCTGGTGGATTCTTCCAGGGGCCTGCTTGCCTAGTGCCATCCTCCACAGCAAGGTCACCTCCGGACCTCTGTGCCCAGTGGGCCCTTGGACAGGATGGGGGCTGGGGGCAGCCAAGCCCAGAAGGAAGACGCAGGAGAGACCAGAGTGACAGGAATGAGAGTGGAGAGGCCAGGGAGGCCAGCGGGGTCAGGGAGCGCTCCAGGCTCTAACACCTGTAGCTCTGGGAGGGCCCTGAGGGAGGACCAGGAGGACCAGGAGCCCCAGCACCCCATGGCTCCCAACTCCCTGTACCTTTTGGTGAACCTTCGGTGAGCTTCTCCAGAGAGTTCTTGCTCATTTCAAACAAGAGCCACTGATGCATCCAGCTCTCAAAGACCTAACGGGACAGAGGCAGGGGGTCATGCTCAACAGCCCTCTCCAGCCCTACCTGGATTTGCCCCTAGGGGCAGAGGCAGGGAGGGCCGGGCAGGGCCCCTGCACCCTGGGTCCAGCTGCAGCCTGGACTCACAGGGCTTGGCCAAGTTGGTTCCTCAACTCCAAGCACCTTTCCAAGTTTGCAGCTTTTTGTGTCCTTGTAAGCTTCCCCCAGCTTCCTGAGAATGGCCTCCCTGGCCCGCCCTTCGCCTCCCCTCTCCCCAGCCCTGCCCCAGCCATCAGGGGAGGAGGCATGAGCATGAGGAAATGCTGACCTTCCAGTCCAGGCCCTCCATGGTTCTCTTAAGTTTCTTCAGGTTCTCTGGGAAGGTCCCCTTCAGCTGTGGGTACACCTTCAGGGGGTCACCTTTCTGCAGGGTAGCAGGGTAGGAAGGAAGGTTAAAAAGAGCTCCTGGCAGGTAAGGTGAAATGTGCAACCCATGTTCCCCTGGTCTTCCCTTCTGAGGGGTGGACCCGTGATGGGGTTGCGGGGGGGAGGCGCAGGCAGTAAAGGCAGGCTGAATGCACAGCTATAAGACTCCAAGGCTGGAAGGCAGGAGACCCAGATGCCCATTCATCTTTCAGGTCCCACCTCCAGGAGAACTGTGTGGACCTACCCCCAGCTAGATTGTGTCTCCTGCAACTTTCCTCACAAAGGCCTCTGCATATTCCTCATCTCCTGGTCACTTGCCTATTGCCCGTGCTACCCTGGGGTCCCCATGGGATTGGGACTTGGGTCTGACTGCTCCCTGCTGCGGGTCCAGAGCCTTGCATCGTGCTTGGCACAGAATAGCTGTGCAATAAAAACTTGGGGAAGAAAAAGTGGGCACCTAGGTCTCTCCATCCAACCA